TGAGGAGCCAACAATTGGGCTCTGGAGAACTGCACCAATAGAAGACCAATCCAGCCCCCACATCCATAGAGGCCAAGATCAGCTCCACACACAGCACAATTCCCAAGGTAAACGTGGCTGGAGTACACAGCACATATCTGGGATCTGACATGGACACCATCACAAAACTGTAAACACCAGAGGTATTTTACTGCTTTTATTCTCCCTTATTTGTCTGATAGGATGAAGGGGTTATATTCCCCCAGTCTCTCCTGTAGGACTGAGTACTCATTGTAGACCTTTTAAAGATTGAGTGACTAAACTACAACCCAGGGACCTGGCCCAGGCCCAGCATGTGTGTGGGAGAGCTTCTGCTCCACTGTGCCCACTGGACCCCTCCAGACCCAGCCCAGGCCCAGCATACAGTCCTGCAGTGAAACTCCCCAGCTGAAGTCTCTGCAGAGACAAAGGCAAGGGGCCAGAACCACCCAGCTGATCCAGGAGCAGAACATCTTGCCAGAGGGGCATAGTGGGTTTACTTCCACTGGCTGCAGCAGGAAGAAGCTAAGCACAGCAGCCAGACCCCAAGCCAGGCACATCGGGATGAGTTTAAACATCATAGATCCAGACCCATTAAGCTGAGGCACTTTGTTAGACCCAGACCTATGAGAGCATCTTACCTCTTTCTCTCTTGACTGAGAGAGGGGCCAAAAGGTAAGCGGGGTGAACTACTCTGCCTGGAGGACCCCAGGTACGTCAAGGGGAGGTGATCAGACAGAACTTAGGGGAACTAACTCAAATACAAATTCCCAATTTAATATCTGCTTAACTATATAGACATAATGCTTGCTTTTATAGTCTAAAATACAAACCCATTTGTTATAAAAGTTTGTCAACTGCTAAATATCACTACCCATTATTAGTGTTCCTAATTATAGTCCTATAAATACAAAACTATAACTGCCTTAACCATATAATCTCTTGGGTAAGAATTTCAGTAGGTGCTAAGGTTATAACTGCACCAAAGCTCTACACCAAAGGTCAGAGGACAGTGCTATACAAAATGACAAGGAAGCAAAATGCAATCTTAGGCCCCGAGCCCACCCAGAACAAATGCAGGAGACACTAACACAGAAAAAAATAGGGAATCACCCAGCTGAAATATCTGAGTTAATAGCGTCTGAAGTAAAGAAACAACTGCAGAAAGGTATAGAGGAACTCAGATCAGAAATAACTTCTTAAATAAAAAAAGAAATCTCTGAATAGCATCTAAAGTAAACAACTGCAGAAAGGTATAGAGGAAATCAGATCAGAAATAATCTCTCAAGTAAAAAAGAATAACTGTAATGAAAGAATAACTGCTTGTGAAGAAGACACTGATAAAAAATTAGAGAATAGAAAAATGATGGACTCCTTGAATAAGCAATATAGGAAAGAAATAGACCGCATGAAGCAGAGTCAGGGAGATATAGAGGAACTTAAAATCACAAGCTTACAAAACCGTTTGAATGAAAGTGAAGATAGTTTCAGATCTCGACACCGTCTCAGCTAGTGAAAAGGTAAGAAAAGATCTCTTGAAAACAACTAGGATGCAAGAAAAAAATAAACCACAACCCAGAAAGGGAGACTCCTCATCACTGCCCCTCCCCTGTGCTTGCCTCATTTTCCCAGGCACTGGACCTGTACTGCTGCCACTACCTCTTGCTGTCACCCCTGGTTACTGACCACCATCTTGACAAGACTGCATCAGCCTCTATAAATTCTAGAGATGGGGACCAATGAAGAACGCTGTAAGTCTCATCTGACTCTGGGTCTTCCCCATAGCTGACAGGGCAGTGGGAGCTTCTGCCCATGGCAGCCTATGAGGAGGCAGAGGGGATGGAAGATTTTCCTTTTCCTTACAATTTTCTCCTTTGTCCTATTATAAAACAGAAATTTCTGGGTGATAGCACCTAATGAACCTAAAATACATCTTATCAAGAGCTTATGGTTTGTGTCTAGATGTCATCCCAAAGCCTCAAGTAGTCAGGGGCAGGTTTTTTTGGTGGTAACTGATTCTGGAATGTAAGATTGATTCATAGTGCAATGCTGGGATCAAGGTGCTAGGATTAAAGCTGGGTGATTGCTGGATCAGTTCACTGATTGAATTTGTACCACCCTAATCCCAGCAGTCTGAATAAGAAAAAAGGGGCTGAAAGAGGCTTATTTCTCCCTTTTTTGCTGTCACTGTTGCTTTTGCTGTCTTCTGCCACCACGAAATGTTGCTCCTCTGTCATGTGCCACTCTGCCTTGAAGTCAGCAGATTATGAACTGAAACCTTCACAAACTGAGTTTAATTAACAGGAAATATACTAGGTTTCACCACACTGCTCTGCACTATTGATAATTTAAAGAATTATAGTCGAGTAAGTGATTGTTCTACTAATTTTTCAGATGGCCAAAACCGTTTAGTTTTTTTCCTAAAACTGACTACATCTCTTACTTTTTGAAATTGCTTTTTTAAGTTTTATTAAGAGGAAAAACCATGGTTAAATTATACATTTAAAAACATGTTAGCACTCGTCTAGAATTCTTGCCAAATATTCGAGTTAGATCACTGAAAATGAGCCAACTAATCCAGGCGCCAAAAGGAGGTGCCTGGTTGGAAGGTGTCACTGTGCAGAGCATGATCTGCAAGGGCATAATGTTGATCCTGGCTCCTCCCTTCTCTCTCTGAATCTGGCTGCCACACGATGAGCAGATTTCTCCCCCATTCCCTTCCATCATGTGTTTCTGTTTCTTTTAATTTTTTTTTTTTTTTTTTAGGAAAGGGTCTACAGGGTGTTCAGGGTCTCACTACTAGATTGGACTCATAGTGATCTGCCTGTTTACAGCCTCCCAAGAGCTGGGATTTCAGGCGTGCTTCACCATGCCCAGTCTCAATTGCTGTCTCAGTGTGTCCCAGGAGCAGGGCTGGCACAGCAGGCCTGGGGATCGAGCCCCCGGCCCCTGCACCTGCTTGCAGGCACTTTAATCCACTGAGCTATTTGGAAGTACCTATCATGTGTTTCTACTATGGAGCCAGCCAGCTTTGGACTGTACCCACTGGGAACTGAACCAAATAAACCTTTTTATAGCATGAATGTTGGGTATTGTTCCTAGCAAGGGGAAGTAACTAATAGAGTTGCCTTCCCAAAAGACTATTTGTATAGTAGTAAGTTGAACAGTCTTGACCAAAAGGAGTTCTATCTAGACCCAGGTGGAACACCCATGAATCTGTATTCCTGATACATAATCCAAGGTTCACCACTAGATCACATGCTGCAGGTGACAGGACCAGACCTCTCCATGGCTCCACCAAGGCCACTGAAGATCTGAGTGGTGGTGTATCCACTGTGATGGAAGAGCCATACACACTGAGAGGCAAGATGCTGCATGTTGTCATCAAGCATATATTGAAGTTGCCAAGTTCACTTTCCCTAAAGAGAGGAAAGACATGCCTAATAATATCCCTGCAGATACTTAGTTCTCAAACGGTAGCACCATGTTGTCTTCTGCTGGTGTGACATCAGTAAGTTCTATGGTATCCTGATTGTCAAGAAAGCGCTGACCAGAACAATTTGGGAAAGAGCAGCACATGTTCACAAAGTGTGAATGATATGGTCTTAATATCAGCTCCCCCAGCATGGTCATTCTTTTCCACTTCATGTTTTCTTTCTTGCTTTCTCACCCACTTTAAAATACCTTTTTCCTTTATATCTTGGCACTTTTTGCCCTGGAAAGGAGGTAGATGCTGGTTCAACTGTCCTACCAGTAATATCTTGGTAACCTTTCACAGTGCAAACAAACCAGTCCAGACAGCCACAAGACAAAGCCAGAAAATAACAAATTTATATTTTCAAGTATGGAACTACTTTCCTTGGAAAGTAAAGAACAAAATAAAGTCAAATAATAGGAATCAGGGAGATAGATCTTTTGCAAATGGAAAGGGACCAAGAGATGGAAAGAGAAGAGGGAGAAGAGAGGAGGGTATGGGAAAATAATCAAATGCATTATGCACATATACCAATTTCCCTTGATGAATGTACATTGTGGCACAAATATGTACCAATGAAATTTTAAGAAATGTCTCTCTGAAACACATTAGCACACCCCTACAAGAGTTTCTGCAGAGCACCTACAATGTCGTTAGTCCCTACCAAACCTCTATGACCCTTGGAGGCATTATCCCCCAAACACTAAGAAAGATCACCTCCACCTCTGAAAATACTTGATCCACTCTATGACTAAGCCCTTACTGTGTGTGACCACCTCTTTAGACCAACAGAAACACTGCATGAGGAGGAAGTTGAAAGGTCAAACCAGGGCAGCTGAACCCATGCAGAACCAGACCAGACACACTGACACAAGTAAAGCAGGTTTATTGGAAGCGCACGCAGGGGCTGTCTCATAGACCAGGATAGCACTGGACAAATGGGGACAGGAGACTTTATAGGATCTTTCAGGCAGGATGATTGTGGGCTGGAACAGCCAGGTCACAAGTGGACATCATTTGTCTTCTTGTGGCTTAATTTTGTTTAGGTCAGAGGGAAATGAGCTAAGACCAACATGGGTCAAGGGGAAGTGAGCTGAGACCAGAGTATAATATGGGGCAGGGTTAGGATTGGGGTTGGTGCAGGTTATCTAGGAAACCAAGAGGGAGTGTTTGGGGCAAGGTGCCCAAGAAACTTTGAGTCCTGACCTATCAGAAGGTATGACAGCCACATGACATCGTGGAGGCTAAGGTAGTTGGTAGGAAGTGCAGCTACTTTCTCACACTTCGGGGAGGGAAGGTTCTTTGAGGACATATGATATCTGCTCAGCAAGGGCTGTAGGGGGCTGGTCACTTTCAGAAGTCGAAGAGCCAATCTTTGACAGCTTTTCTTAGCATTTTCCATAAACACAAGCCTGAGTAACCCAACCAGTGCCTTCACCTCAGTATACAAAAAGACATCACTTTATTGAAATTTTTATTGGGAACAGTGTTTTCAACAAGGAAGAAATTATTTGGGAGGAAGAAAACGTTCTCCCTGCAAATTCTGGCGAAATAGCCTTGCAAAGACTCTGCTGAGTTTCCAATCTCTGTAGTTCCCAGGCAATCCAGCTCTCTCTCCCTGCTGGCTCCTGTTGTGAACACAGGAAGATTGGGCACCAGTGTTCCCCTTGGAGCGTTCTTGCACTCTGTGTTTCATACTAGGACAAAGCCATTGGAAAAAGCATTTCACCTTATTTTTAAAAAGATTTTCAGGAGGAGGCTGTCCCTTTGGTAAAGTCACCATGTTCTCACAGTGGGCACTTTGGTCCTGATAGAATAAGGTCTTGGGACTGAAGTCATTGGAGGTGAGTGACACATCAGCAGGAAGACCCTGAGCCCGGCTTTGGTCCACACTCTCCATTTCAAACATTACCTCACTAGGCAACTGACTTTTAAAGCCTGATGATTTGCCGTCCTGGGGCACTGCTGTTCTTCCTGGAGGTCTCTCAGTGGCCAGGGAAATTTCTGGTTTCCTTATATTCATATCTCGCCCTGTGATACATTCTGATTTCCTGCTCATCAAGATGGTCCTGGACTGTGATTGAGGAACATGGAGCTCCTGTGCTTTGACAGTCCCCCTGGCCTTGTTACACATGGAGAAATAGTCTAACTTCACCATTTTGCTCTGATGCCTTTCCATGTCACTGGTAGAACTCATTATCTTCTCCCTTATCTTAGGTCCTGCAACAGCCAGCTGTGTGGGCAGCTTTGGGCTTCTTTTGGCTTGCAAAGTCTGCTTCTGACTTACTTTTTCCATGTTGTTGTGTTGGGAGTTCAAAAAGATCTGTGTGCTGTCTTTCACTGTCTGGATGTTACCAGTAAGCTTGTAGCTGTTAGAAGGAGGTGAAGGTCCCCGTCGTTCCTTGTCAATAGGTGTAGTAGCAAGGCAAGGCCCATTCAAAACTGAATTTAGTGTTGTCACATTGTGTGCTGGGAAAGCTTTAGAGCTTTCTTTATGGGGTTTGTAGACCCTACTTTCAGGATGCAGCCCAGAAACACTATTATCTGAGGAGGAAAAGTGGGAATCAAAAGGGGCCTGGGATGGGTCCCTTTTCATATTGAAGATTTCTGTAGATTTCTGGACCCTGTGTGGAAGGCCCCACATCATTCTGTTATGAAAAGTCTTAATATGGTCTTCCAACATTTTTTGTTTGCTGTAACTGAGGAAGGAAATATTTTGAGATTTATTTGGGTAATTACCTTTACCCTCCAATTGTGCCAGATGTCTGTCTTTTATTTGCTTGGGAGATCCCTCAGGTAAAGAAAGTTTAGGACTGATAGAATTCCTTGATTTGTGTACAATGTCAGGAGTGTGACCCTTATAGATTTCCTCAAATTTCTGGCACAAATGTACTTCTAAGGCTTTTATAAGTTGTTTCTGTCTTAAACTCACACATAATGCCTGTGAAGTTTTCCCTGTGAGCCTCTCCAGGTGGCTTTCCAGGACTGTTTGCCTATGTGGATGACCCAACAGTTTATCTTTGGAGTCAATCTCTGGGCTATGTTCCTGTCTCTTCCCTATTCCTTTCTTCAGGGGAACCGTTTCTTGGATCCTGTCATGAAAGCTTCGAAAGTAAAAACTCTTGAAATCTTTGATTCTCTGGCCCTTAAGCAAAGAGCATCTATTGATTCCATGACTACCCTTTGACTCAAAGGTCACAGAACATTGTGTCTGAGGACACACTTTCAAGGGAGACTTGAGAACTCGGGGGGGCAAGTCCCCCTGATGTTGGGCGAACTTCCCATGAAGATGATGCTCTAGTTTCTTTGTCTGCTCACTGTTGAAGGCAGTCTCTTTATGATGGGTGGAGATGGGCACATGAGCTTTGGAGGACTCAGTGACTAGTGGTAGCTTGTGAGCTGGAGGACTAGTGTCTTCCTGGGTTTTTTGGACCATAGAGGGTAAACTCTGCACACTTTCTTCTACTTCCTGTAACATGTTACAGTCTACATTGTGAACTTCAGAGAGTACGAGAGACTGCACCTCATTCTGCGTGCTATAAAAACACACTTCTGTGACTCTATTCTGAGCTAGAGCATGAAGCTGGTCCTGTGCCTGTACAAAATGGAGATGGCTGGCTTGGGATTGGGGCAGAATATGGGGCAAGGATTGAGGGTAGACCTCAGGGCAGGAGAGAAAAGGTGTGTGTGGGAAGATTGGAGATTCATAGGCTTTGAAGACATTGGATATTGTACTGAAGCAACCACCTGCAGTATGGACAAGAGGATTCAATGACTGTCTAAGCAGGCCTGGAGAATGGCTGAAGTCACTATATTTTGGCTCTACGTGATCCAAATTCTGAGGACCTGCAAGCTTATGAGTCACATGCAGCTCTTCTGCTTTGCCTTCATTGCTCCAGAGATGATAGGGAGGTTCAGAGTGCTGTTTATTGGCAACTGACTCTGGTCTTTTCTCTGTAGTAGTCAGTGGGTGGTCTGGTTCATGTTGTTTTACAAAAGATCCTCCTCCCTTTTCTCGTTCACTGTACATCGGGAAATCATCTGTCTTCTTAATATCTCTCTCAATGAGAGCAGGGCTGGCAGACCTGGGAAACCTTAGGGATCCAGGTTCTACCTGGTAGGTTGTGCTGTGTCCCCCAAAGGAGGCCTCCACTGAACTGAGGTCACCAATGGACAATTCACTAGAGCTATCATTGAGGGACAGTGGGGCTTCTGGTTGGAGAACACTTTCCTCTTCTTGAGTGTGATGTGGTCGGCCTGAGGCACTGGCAAGTGGCTCTGATGGGAATTGGTCCACTGGGAATCTGGGAGGATTGGACTCTGGTGGCACAGAGCCACCTTGAGTTGAGGGTGAATGTGGGTCTGCTGAAGTGGCGACCTGGTAAGGTGGGAGAGTGCAGGGTTGAGGCAGAGAATGCTCAGTTAAAGAGGCTGAAATTGTGTGCCCTGCAGAAATTGCAGAGATGGCAGATGTCTGAGTGAGTGATAACTTTGTCACAGAGGCAATGGATGGCAAACGAGACACAGTATGAGGAGCATCTTCCAGGGATGCCCGAGAGAGCAGATGACTGATGTTTGCTGTTGTGCTGTTACACACTTTACAGAGGGGGTCTGGACACAGCAGTTGTCGGAAGTGTGTGATGTCATGTTGCTGACCCAGGGGGCTATAGGAGTCAGAAAGTACAAGGTCAAGAGAAGGAAGGCCTGCTGTCTGGTTGGAGAGGGGCCACCTGAACCACTTCCACCCCTTCCCACTGCCCCACAGCCAGGACCTCACACAGCACCACACAACTCCTCCCAGCCTACATTCCCACACCTGTGGCTATGGCTTCCCTGTCTGTGGTCAGAACCCAGTGATTCTCTGGGTTCACAAAACACATAGGAAAAGGGATCAGGAAAGAAGAAAGTGGTGAGTCACCTTTTCACAACAGAAAGCAATTTCTTCCCCTCATCTGCTTCTCTCTGCCAAGTTCTCTGACCTGGAAAAACAGGACAATGGCAGACATGTAGCAAAGGTATAAACACAGGACTCCTATAGGAGACACTTTATGGGAAATTCTTAGGGTTTAGAAGTCTCAAAGCCCTAAGAATTAGCAGACAAGGTGAGATGGCAACAGGTGATAAGAACATCCCCATGCGTCTTTGGCTTTATTTGGAAAGCATCTACATCTGCACATTCATTGTTCCATGAGGTGCCCAGAACTGCCAAGTGGTCACATGAGTCAGAGCCACCTCACGGATAAGCACGGCACCCAAAATTAAAGTACTTTACACAGTGTCAGAGGTCAAAGTTCTGGCCAAGAGTCCTTCCTGGACATCACATGAGCACCAGCTGGACACCTCCCAGCTCAGAGCTCTGCTCTATTGCCGCTGCACACCTGTGGTAGTAAGAGTAGGCTCAATGACCTTCCAGTAGGCCTGTCCTCTCGGGTTCTGTGTCCTAACAGAGACTGTGTCTAACAACTGCTGTTTTCAGCAGTCATAGATTTGGGACCTTTGGTGGTGTCACTCTTAGATAGGCAAAAAAGGGAAGAAACACACCTCTCAATGATCTAGTTCTCCTCCTTTTGGTGCTGAGATGTTGCTGAAAAAAAAAATAAAGAGGTTCTGGAATCCATCTTTGCTTCTTTCTACAAGGTTAGATATTCATTCCCTAGGAGTCACATGATCAACCCTTTTAACTCATGGAATCTGTTCCTTTCATTCATTTTGAAGAGCTATTAGATAATGTTTTATTCCCTCAAGAAACTCAAAGGAGGACTTTATCCATGACACCCAGTCAGATGTCCATCAGACACATTCCCAGTCAGAATTCCTCTGCCAGAGAATGGTAGAGACTGAGGCCCATAGTCAGCTTTGTGCCCCTCAGAGGACCCGGACTGTGGGATAGAACTCGGGCTCTTATCTGCTCCGATGCTCTTGGAGGATGGCATTATTCACCTTCAGCCCTACAGGGAGTGGGACTTGGGCAAAAACCACTGACCTGGGGATGGGACTCAACATTGAGAGTCAGAAGAGACTGTTCTCCTTCAGAGAATGCAGTCTGAAACTGAGCCACCCGGCTACAGGGTATCGCTGTTGGATATTGTATACTGGAAGCCCCTACTGTGCACACACAGAGAGGTAGTTATGTGGGCTGGCTAGATGGAAACAGTGAGCCTCCCCATCACTTACTCCTGCCTCACCTCTTCCCTCAAAGAGATATGGCCTATCTTCCCCTCTGACTTCCCATTTTAAGAGTTTCCTGAGCCACATACTCATTTAATAATTCGAGAATTGAAATAGGAATCAAGAACAAAGATTCCCTCTTGGGAGTCCATACCTTTTGGATGTCTTTGTTTCTCCAGAGGGCTGGTAACCATGGTTTCAGCAACAGGTAGCACAAGGGCAGAAAGAGCAACCCTGCTGCACTCAGAAAGGTAAAGTTAGGATCTGTATCCAAGAATGCTGAGCCAAAGCTCAGCCATGACTCAGTATGGCTATTCAGAAAAGAGAGAACATTCTCCATAACCTGAATAGTGAGGCTGCCTGAGGCAACTGAAGCCTGAGGGCACTGGAGCTTAACCATATACCCCCAGTGGCATCATAGAGCATGACAGAGTCACAAAAGGGTCCTGAGGGTGAGGGAGGGGCACCTGAGGAGAGCCTCTCTCTGCCCCTCCACACCCACCAACATAGCAGAGCCCTCTGTTCATTCTTCCAACCCCACCCTTTCCTCATGTCCTGTGTTTATCTCAGGGAACAATTGTGTTTGTTGGTTTGTTTTGCGGAACCAGGGCTTGAACTCAGGCCCTTGCATTTGCCAGGGAAGCACTTGTTCTACTGAGCCATCTCCCCAGCCCCAGTTGTGTTTGTTCTCTGATCCTGATTTTACCTCCTAAGTTCCCCTTTACAACCACATCCATTGTCACGGACCTCACCATTCTATTGCCTTGGCAGTCTTCTGTACTGCCTGAGATTTACCTAAACAGAGGCCCTCAAATCTACCTTATCCCAGAATGCGTTTGCCACACACTGGGATACAAAAGTTGGAAATTTTTATATTGTTTTATGAACGTTTAATAGTAAGTGGGGTTTTTGTTGTTGTTGTTCCAGTTAGCCTCTACTCACTTTAGATGGTTAACGTAGTCAATTAAAACTAATTATTATTGAACATAAAGTAAAATGGAAAAGCCGGGGAAGAAGGGAAGAAAAATACCTCTGCAGTGTGCCTCAGCAAAATACTGAGTCCATTTCATCGGCCTTGGTGACCTGCCTATTGCTTGATACAGATTAATGTTTGTCCTGCCATGAACATTTCAAAACTGAGCAGACGCCTGTTTCCAAGAGACAGTGTCATGTCTAAAACCCAGAGCTGGTCTCTTCACAAAGCAATGACTGTTTCCCAGGCTGGGGCTGGCCAGAGGAGACCAGCCCTTTGCTATGCACTTGGGAACAGGCAGGCCCACAGTGAGAAAAGGCAAAGCTTCCCAGAGATGGGGATCTGGTCTGCCCCATTTGTGACTAAAGCACAGTTAGGTTATCCTTCCAGTTTCCTTGCGTGACCATCTGTGGCAAGCAGAGCAGGAAGGAACACAGTCCTCCAAAAGCACCCAGAATTACCACAAATCAATAGCTCTGCAGAGCTGAACAAAAGCATCTATTGGGTGCTGAACAAAGTACTAAGTACTAGGTACAATGTACTGGGGATTTCTTTCCCTGTCTTATTTTAGCTTTAAAAAATGTTCACAAATGAGTTGTGCAGGCACTCTTGGATCTCAAAGCAGGATAACTTACAAATCTGGGTTCAATTTCTGGCCTTCCTGAAGCTGCTGTTTGGTTTTAGGCACGTAATATAACTCTGGGCTATGGATACCATCATTGACATCATCTTCATTTAGGTGAATTCTTTAAGCTAATCTAGAATATTTGTGGTAAATAGAAATGCATTCTTCTGAGGTAGATACCAACCACTCAGTGAATCTGAAAGTTTCCTTTGGGAATCACTTAGGACAAAAACCATCTTTACTTTATTGTTAACTTGTGCTATACCTAATTTGTACTTTTTAAAAGTTAGATAAAGTACTCAAGTATAGTACTTTGTCACTGAGCTGCTATTCAAAGCTTTGTGTGTCTAGCTACATCCAGTGACAGGTCACTGAGGTACAGTAAGTACTTCCTCAACTATGAAGTATGGTCATTGTTCCCTAGCAGGTTCATTGTGAAGATGAAGCATGACATACATGGAAAGTGGCCAGTTCAGTGCCTCTTAAACATCTGGGGGCTTATGAAGGGCCGAGCAGTCAGGAGTAAAGGACCAAAGAATTACTTGTGATCAAATCAAAATCCTGAGCTGAGAGGGTCAGGGGTCAAAGAGAGGGCCTGTGCCATGTGTTCTGGAAGAGCAGCAGTCGTGGCTGGTCAGGGCCTGGCAGGGTGGGCAGGGGACAGACTCTGAAGGCAAAAGCAGACTTGGGCCAGAAGCTCTGGAGAAGGATCATCGTAGCTTCTTCAGTGTTCAAATAGATCTAGAACATTAAGTTGTTACTGCTGCTCTACTACACAGACTCATCTTGCTTGAAATAAGCAGATTTCCTGCTTTTTTTATATCTGAGGAGAGACTGGCTAACAGTAGTGCTATACACACTGATAAGGGGTGACGGAGGACTGGGTTTCAGTCACATCTTGGATTCTGTAAACCTCAGCTTGCATTTATAGTTTCAGAGTAAGATAAAAGTCCCAATTTCTATTTCTTGTTAATAGTGATTTTTAATAACAGCAATATTTGGTAAGTTATATGTGAAGGGCAGTCCAGGAACATAAATCTTTCACCCTTAATTTTCTTAAATACTATGTAGTATTCAAGCTGTAGTCAGTAATTCCCTTAAACAGTATTGTTCTCATGAGCTTTCTTATACACTCTCCTCTCTACATTATCTTTTTTTCTATTTTTCTTTACATTGCATCCCTAAGTGTTAAGAAATTTTAAAGGTTACTTAACACCTCATCAACTTATTTATATTATATTTGAAAAATTGATATTAGCATTACATTTATGAATTCTTTTATGCCCTAACAGCTTATGCCTTTCAGAGGTGAGGCTTTGTTTGTTTGTTTGTTTTTATAACCTGCCATCCTATGAGTGGCCTTAGGATAAGACAGTTCTCATCATTGGCAAAATTTACTGCTTGGAGAAGTCTTTGAACCGACTCCCAAGGTTTGGCTCAGTTTCTGTGCTTGTCTCGCTATCCCCTTCCTTTGTTTGAAAACCAAATAAATACAGGCTGCCCAGAGCAGAGAAGTTCTCTGTCTTGCACCCCACCAAGGGAATTTTGAAATCTGTTCGAGGGTTTCACTCTTCTTGGATCCCTAAAACTTCATAGCACCAGTGTCTTTTATTTAGGCCATTTTTCACCCACTCTTTTAGGAGGTTATGGGCCTGATCAGTCTGTGATAGTGCACTTTAGCAAATATCTAAAGGGGGAACCGAGTATAGGTAGGTTTTAAGTTTTGGGGCACAACTTTAAGAATCTTAAAGAATCTGCATAAAGTGTTTGAGTTTAAGGCTGTGCAGGCAATCAACACAGGTTGTCATATAAAGCTGGCATCAGGAGATGCAGGGCACCCCTAGCCTCACATTAAATTTGTGTTGCCCTTCTTCTTCTTTACCAGAGGTAAGCTGTTTCCAGTAATGGAGAGTCCATTGCTTGTAGTGAGCAGCCCCAGTCTCTCTCAGGTTACTCTCAGGTCAGTAACAAACACTTTCTGTTTCTTTTACTGTATTCAGACTACCACCCTAGGGTGTGTGTAGCACTCACACTTTAAATCCAAGCAATGCACCATGGAAAAATTACAGATTCTAGATTCAGCCTCTCTGCAAAGTTTACCTCCCATGACTGTGTGAGGCACCAGGGGGCCATTTGGACACAAACCAATGATGCAGTCAGAAAAAATCATTTTTGTATGTACAGAATAAAAAAACTAAGCATTTTTAATGAGCCTGATATTTCTTCCAGAAAAACTGAATTTTTATTTAAAATGAGTTGACCTTTTAAGACTTTGCTTTACTTCTTCACCTGTGGTTCATCTTCTGCTAATGTTGATTGTACAGTATATTAGATACTATAAGAGCCGGCAAGATAGTTCAGTGAAATAAGCACCTGCTTTGGCAAGTGCAGGGACTAGGATTTGATCCTCAGTCCTGCATGCCTTTGCAGCCCCAGGACACACTGAGCCAGCAACCAAGTCTAGGTGTGGTGGTGGACGCCTGGGACCCCAGCGCTGGAGAGGCTGTAAACAGGAGGATCACTATGGGTCTGAGCTGTGTAGTAAGACCCTGTACCAAATACATAAATGCAAATAAAACAAACACTATAGTTCACATTTTCATGTTTTTAATTTTATGAAGAAAATTTAAAGTGTGTCTCCTAGGTATGCTTTTCATGGTTTTTTGGTAGCACTCTAGATGCATTTAAGAGAGTTCAGTGGTATTTTCTTTTTCACATCCATTAGTACATTTTGGACAAATATACTGACAGTATTCATCATGGAAAGTTGGTAGTGGCACAGATACATAGCACACATTTGATTACTTCCTCTAGCCTTTACACACACACACACACACACACACACACACACAGACACACACACACACACCCCATTTCTAGATTGCTTTCCCACCTGCAAAGGTTCTTTCTCCCTATTTTTATGTTTTACCTTGTTCTTGAAATAATTTCTACTTTGAGTTTCTTATATAAGAGAAACCCTGTGATGTTTACTCTGCAACAGTTTAGCTGTAATGTGCTATTAAAAACTTGACAAATGGAATCAGCCTTTGATTCAAATGAATAACCTTGCTTTGAAAAAGAAATTGATATGAATTTTGTAAAGCATTTTATCACAGAAAAAAAAACCGTGCATCCTTTTTGAGGAAGTGTTAAGTCATGGTTGTAGAGCCTTTATTGGAGGTAAAGGAAGCTTCAATTTGATTAAAAGTTATAAACCTGAAACATATATGCCACCACCCCACGCCCCCCGTGTATGCACACACTGAGCTAGTGATAGTCTGGGGGTGGTGGGACAGGCCTGTAGTCCCAGCACAGGAGAGGCTGAAAACGGATCACTACAAGTCTGAACTGCGTAGTGAGACCCTGTACCAAATACATTTAAAAAAACTGAAACATACTAAATACTGAAAATATATTCACCTATAGTTTTCTCTGTTGCTCTTGTAGGAGCATTTGGCATATTTCTTAGTGTAGTGCAAATTTGGGAAGGACTGTGCCTACCTGGGGTGTTTTTTTGTTTTGTTGTTTGTTTTTTTAAATTTAATTTTATTTATTTATTTAATTTATTTTTTTCCTTGA